GACAATAAAAAACTACTTGTGGGCTAAGCTTCTATTTAAAGATTCATATTATCTATATATGGAAACAATAAATCGTATAATTTCCTTAATCCTGTGGCCAAACTAAGAAAATTATAGATTTATTAATCCATCTGATTAATCATATAACTATAATAAAAATTCTTGTGGAACAAAATTTATTATATTAATTATGATTAATCACAATTTTGATGTTATTTCCATATGTGATTTGAAAAATTTCATGTATAATTTATCATAATTAAAGTTGCTATGGCTAAACTCCAATTAATCAAAATTGTAACATTCACGAACATTAAATAATATATCCTCTGTGATTTACATACCCAAATGTAGCTCAATGCATATCTTGAAGTATATGTTTAATCACAAATATAGACATAACTGTATAAGACATGTAATTAAATTTACAATTATCAAATAAATAATGGATTAATATTTAAAAATTCTAGATTAATCCATAGTATATGAAATGGGTTTTTGGATCAACAATGGATCCCAAAACAGTTTCCGGATCACAAGACAACGGAAATGGGTATGGACTGTGATCCAATACATCTTGACACGAAAACTTTCCGAGCCATGTGTTACCCAAATTGTGAGAATTTTATTGCATTCAGCCAAAGCCTAAGATACATGTGAAGGTTTCAAAATGCTCCTAGAGTGGAGTAGTCAACTCCATTGATTCACGTGGCCCAAGAGATGAACAGATATGTAAATATATCTTGGATTACTTCATTTATTGCAAGTAAACTATTGATTAAATTCCTGCAAAAGATCTATTCCATACGTACATGCATGTATATACATGTTTGGAATTATGGTACTGCAGATTCGAAATCCTCAAATTAATTAGATTTCTCAAAATAAGTTTCATTTATATATATATATATATATATGCACATGAATCCTACATGTATTGCTCGTTCCAAAATCCAAGAACACCACTCGAGATATTGCTTCCATAGAAACCAAGACATTTTAATTCATAGTTTTTCACGTGGATTTATATTGGATGACAAACTAATTAAAACTGAAATATGCATATGCAATATATACATTACGGGCATGTATGTATACCACACCACATGCATATTTGCAACATATATATATCAAATATATAAATCTGTCGCTCAAGGTAGAGGTATCTGATGGTTCTGATACCAAATGTTAAAAAAAAAAAAAAAAAAAGATGGAAATCTAAATGTGGAATAAAGGTACCTCTGGCCATTAAGATAATTTTGAAACTTTAAGCGAAGACACTTTTGGGCTCTTAAACACTCACACGATGGATGTGTTTTTCTTATGGTGTATTGATCCCAGGAACTTTCACCAATTTATAGCCTTAATTTCACGTTTTCCATCAATCGTGAAAACCGAAAAGGGTATTTGAATTAAACTTGAATTCATGTATACGGAGCATATCAAGTGAATGTGGGTAACCAAATGAATCTATCCACTCGGATTACGATATGTCCACTTGAATTACGATGTGTCTACTTGAATTCTGTATAGTGGATTAATTTTGGATTGTGACTTTCAAAATTTCATATTAATTTCCACATTATTTCTAACAACCTGTTCTTATTAGTTTTAGAAGTGACCTCGGAAAAAGTTGCACATAGCATCACCATTACGGAAACTTAAATTATCACCATTTCAGTAAAAAAATAAAAATAAAAACAAAAATGGCTTGCAAATCAGAGATCTCATCACTAAATCAACTTCCTGCTTTAATACCTAGCTCTAATACCCAGCTAATAACTGGCCACTCAAAAAGTTCAGCGTTTTCACACTAGTTGTTGGTTTGATAGCTTAGAACTAACTTATTTCCAATGAGGATGAGCTAAAAAAATACCAAATTCATACTTCATAGGCAGCAAACATATCTAGAAAGTACTAACAACTTGGACAGAATGCTCTAGTAAGAAACAGTCATAAATTGTTATAATATTTCATAATCAATGGCATTAGTCATTACAAAAATAAGCAAGCAAACATCCAACTTCTTGGTGCAATTGCAAATACCCATATCAGTAACAACTAGCATGAATTTTTAGTGAGATATTCAAGATTTAATTTTCATTAATATTAATTACCCCAATTTTTATATATGCAAAGTCATGAGCTTGCGGTCAATCTCCATCACACATTAGTAAGTTTAGAAGATGCTGTTTTTTTCATATATAAAGAAAAAAATTAAATTTTGTCCAGACTCCATTAAGGGACCGATATAATTAGTAAGAATGACAGTTATCAATTTTCATATCATCTTTATTCTATCTCTTGGATGAGTATAGGCACCAAATGTCTTTCTATCAATCCATTGAAAGCAGAAAAAAAATACAAGTTATTTAACATAGGAAAGCTTATATTTTCTAGAATTTTGGGGATGGAAGAGTTATGTAAAAGAAATCTCTATTATCTGCAAACCCTTTCATAGGATTTCTAATAGCGTTTACTGTCAATCACTTCAGACAGAAATGATAACCATCAAAGGCCACCAAAGTTGCAGTAATTAGAAATACATTCCTCTCCTTTCCTAGCTACTAAAAGGGAGGAGTTGGCATTGAATTCCGTGAACTTCAAGAAATTACCATTGACTATTTGATATAATTGCTAATTCATGCAATCCAATAGAAGTCAACATTTCAGGACTTTGTACTGTATTCAGGCTTAAGTTCTAAAGATTCCCCACCTAGCATAGCAAGACTTCCCCAAACTACAGCCAAGTACAAAACAAGTTAACTTTGACCAGTATTCACATCCACTGTTAGTTTCCAAGACAAGAATAATATTTTAGCTCAGCTTCACAGCAGTAGAGAAGTTATTACGAATATCATTCTTCTGAAATAAAAAAAGCAACATTTTCATTCAGATTTTGGTATGTTTAACACAATAATCCTCCCCAGGCAAGTCCAGAGGAACTTTTGTGATACTTACCATATGAGAAATTAGGAAAAACACAAATGACAATTAAGCATTGCATCATCCAGAGAGAACAGACAGTATGAGAATTTTTTGGTCAGCCAACAGTGCAGGCCTTAAAATGACCTTACCTTGGCAACAGCATAGACACCAAACAGGCCTGTGTCTTTATAGTTGGTGTTAAAAGCCATCATGTTCTCTGCAATCTCATTAATTGCAACCAATATCTAAAAGAAATTTATGAAAACACTCAAAGAAAAAAAAATTAAAAACAGAAACTGAATAGGATTTCTTACCAACATAACTTTTTGTCAATATAATCAGTACTAATATTTTTTTTTTGCTAGTTATATATGATAGGATTTTTTAGTTTTTGATGTTTTAATTATATATGCATAAATACATGAAGTAATTATTGCACTTCACTTGTTACTATTACAATTATAGTATTGGTGCAAACGAAGCTTTTGGTTGGGGAGTTTTCTTTATCTGCAATTTACAGTTCATCCTTCTACTTTCCAGAATGAAAGCAATCTGCCTCCCATTGTTTTTACCTCTGGAAAACCAAAAATCAGAATTTCAAAAGCTAGCCTCCTTACTTGGTCTATGCAAGCTGTGATTAATCTACAAGCATTTCAACAATAAAATCTGTGAAGTTATATGGATTAAATCAGAATATACACCTTATTTTTGTCCTCTGCAAAAAGCATACACAAGTTACCCATGTCCGAGAGACTACATATCTTGGCATATAGGTGTTCCTATAAAAGATCTCAAAGATGTGCAAAAAAATTATCACAAACAGAAAAAGAAAAAGAAAAAGAAAATGACAACCCTGTTACCATTAAGAATAGTGGGCAAACCTCAGAGAATATGGACGGTGAAAGTAGGAAAGCAGCAGATATTGCAGCCCTCAGATTAACAGAGTTTAAGTTTCCAATGTCCAAGTTATCCACAAGAATATGAACCTAGAGAAAAAATAAGAAGATTTAAGATGCCTCTATTTCAGGCAAAATTAGAAATTTAAGGATTGCCTCATGTCTAAAGGCATGTTTGTTCTGACTCCATTCCAATGCCCAACAGGGGACACTAGCCTGAATGATACAGGCTCTGCTAATTGCCCTTCTAATCATGCTCATTCATTATAAACCAAAGCATATGTGCATACCTCATGAAATTCACAAGGTTGCATAATATAGAATCAGTGATCAGCTCATAGCCAATCCAGACACATTTGTTTCAATCGTTACGGAAAGGAGGGAAATGCAGATAAATGAGAGCAAACAAATAGAAGAGTGTGTAACAGCAAGAGAAAGCACTTATGCAGAAGACATACAGGTTCTTGCACACGACCACTCAGGCAGAAGTTCTCCCAATTTAGTAGATCAGTTAGGGTTTCAATGAACAGTGCTTGACAGATTGCAAAAAATTACGGCGGTTAATTTTAACCGCCATAATTCACTTGATTTTTTTGCAGTGACCCGTCTCGTACCCTTAACCAAACAACCCATAAAATGTAGTATCCGGTTTAATATAATAACCAGAAAGGGCCGGCATTGACGGGAGTGCCAACTTTACTCCTTTCTAATTTTTTTTTCTTTTTCTTCGCTACAATTTAATCGAGAAATACACGTATATTATCTATACACGTTATGAAATCACCCAAAGCCGCACGAAAAGGGGCCCCAGAAAAAAAATCATATCAGAATTGGGAACATGTCGAGTGAAGAGATGACTGGTGGGAGAGACAGGAGATGGTCTCTCCAGGGAATGACTGCTCTCGTCTCCGGCGGAACCAGAGGCATTGGGTTAGTCCTCTTTCGCTCCCGCATCTGTCACAGAAGAAGAAGGAAGAAATTCAATTATTTTTTTATTTACAAATCAGGAAGACTCAGCTTATTCTCTTATTTAAAACCAAAAATAAAAATAAAAAGCTGAATCAAGAGTTCCACGTTTTTCTTTGAAGTTGTCCTTGGTCAATCAGTGAATCGCCCAAGTGGGGAAGTAGCTAATTTCTGTTTACCATCTTTTCCAAATCGAACGGTTTACGTTAGTTTCTGTTTTCTTTCTTCCATCTTCTTGTATTTTATCTTGTGGTTATTGTTGATTCGTGTGGGAACTCAAGATACGCCATAGTAGAGGAATTAGCGGGGCTCGGCGCCGCAGTATATACGTGCTCGAGGAACCAGGAGGAGCTCAGCGGAAGGTTGAGAGAATGGGAAGCAAAAGGGTACAGAGTGAGCGGCACGGCATGCGACTTGGCATCAAGGGCTCAGCGGGAGGAGCTGATAAAGGCTGTATCTTCTGCTTTTGATGGGAAGCTCCACATCCTAGTAAGTTCATTTTCGAAACTGCAATACATGTGCAGCAACTTGGGTCGATTGATAGAAGCGATGAAGTAGTCTCTGCTTTTCTTTCTTTGTTCCTTCCCTGCTTTCTTGTTTATTTTTTATTTTTCACAATAATTGAGAAGGAAGATGGGAGGATTTCTTACTTTGCATTAAAGAATGCACGGTTTGAGTATCTTATCGCACAATGTTTGGTTTACAAAAACTTATAAATAATTATTTTTAAGACCTTAAAATCTTTAAAATGTCAATCATTTCCTTAAGCTCAAGAATTAAAATTTCTCACATTTTAGATTATTGAAAAGATTTTCAAAATCTAATTAAAGAAAATTAAAATTAGACTCCATTTACTTCAATTCAAATTAAGTGAAAGTAATTAATCGAATTTAGCCCAACTCAATATTGATTTATTTTCCTTAAATTTGTTGGGCAATATGCATGAGTGGGTTTGATTTTAAACAACTTTGCTTTAGACATTTTTTTTTGGTACAAAAGATTGAAAAAAGGAAAAAATTAAAGAAGAAAAACAAATTCAACCAAATCAGACTTGTTTAAAGACACTGGAATAACTTGTAAATCCGATAGAAAATTCAAAAAATTTAAAATCCAAAAATTCATGCAGTGATTTTGAATTCTATAAACTATCGGGTTTCGTATTTTTGTAATATTTTTAATTTAAGAAAAAATTATTTTTTATGAAAATACACAAACACAAATTTGAAATTTCGCAAACGGATTCTGTATTTTCGGGACAAGGTGAATAAGTCAACAAAGTCATGCTTTGAAGGTGAGGTCGATTGAAAAGGATGACTGGCTGGCTACCTACCTATTAAATTAGAGAACTCTCTAACACTTTTCCATTTCCTAATTAATGTATATTTGAATACAGTTGGAAGGTTGAACTAATGGTCTTATTTGTTTTATAAAATAATTATTTTTGTCCATTTTATTACGAGCAGCTGATCAGTTAGTTTTTGCCTTTTTTGTTTTTTCTTTTTTGAGAAAAGATGTATCATTGATTGTAAGGATCAGGCAGGTCGTTCTCCCAAGTGAAAGCTTCAACGTGAAAAATTATTTTTTTATTTTATTTCAAACTCTTGATTTATTTTATTAATTTTAAATTTATTTATTATAATTTTAAAATTTTAAGTTATTTATATAATTGTAGCAAATATAATTTTTTTTTAAATTTAACCTCAACGTTAATTCGTCAGTGGTGACTCGAAAATCTAGAGAGCAAAACCAATTGCTCGACGTTGTTCTCAAATTTAAACTACTTCCTCTATAAATTGTAGGACTTCCCGAGAAAAGTAAATAAATAAATAGATGTACCGACATAACTCTAACTTAAGTACTTTTAATAAAGAATTTACCTATATATATATATATATATATATCTATATAAGATACTTACGTGAGAAAAAATTAATTAATATCAGTATAAGTATAAAAAATTTATACTAAATCTTATTTCATTTATTTTAACTAAATTAACGGTGCAAGTTTTTTACAGTTATACTAATATCAATTGATTCCTCTCCTACATATATATATTATATATATACACACACACACATTTGATTTCTCTTTTTCACTACCCATATCTGGTTGTCAGATTTTCTTGAATTGTGCTTGTTTGCTTGTTTCCTCACCGACTTGCATTAGGTGAACAATGCTGCATCAGGTCTACTGAAAAGAGCTACAGAGTTCACTGCAGATGATTACTCAACTTTAATGAGGAACAATCTTGAATCTCCTTATCATCTTTCCCAACTTGCTCACCCTCTCCTAAAAGCCTCTGGGTGCGGCAGCATCGTGTTCATTTCATCCATCGCAGGTGTCACAGCTCTCCCTGCAAACTCGGTCTACTCTGCAACCAAAGGTAAGCAAGCTCTCCCAACTCAGCTCAATTAACGAAGTCCAGTTAGATGCTGCATTATGCAGATCGAGGGAGAAAATTTCTACACTACGTACCCTACCTTTTAAAACAAACATTATTTAGCATCCTATACTTCAAAACTATTCACATTTTGGCCTTCAAGCTTCTGATTTTATGATAGCTTCTATTAGTCTGGTGGACAAGGGTCACATTGATTATAATTTGACTCCACGCGTAGACTTTTACAATCTGAATTAAGAGTTTATTTTTTTCGTTTTCTCAGGTGCAATCAACCAGTTAACAAAGAACCTGGCCTGTGAATGGGCCAAGGACAACATCCGGGTGAACAACGTGGCACCAGGGCCAGTGAGAACCACAATGAATCCTGTACACTCTTTCTTCCGCCTCCCTAATCTACTTTTCCCCGTTTTCTCAGAAATTCCAGGAAAATGTTTATCCTACATTTTCTGGGAATTTCTCCCAGAAATATTGTTTAAAATAGACACAACTGGTAGCATCAACTTGTTTTTCTAAATCATTTTCTTCCCTAGGGGGATATCGATCCATCTGTTCGCCAAGCTTACATGGATATTATGCTTCGGATTCCTCTCCGTCCGATGGCCGAGCCTAACGAGATTTCACCACTAGTGGCATTCCTCTGCCTTCCGGCTGCTGCATATATTACCGGGCAGGTAATTTGCGTCGATGGAGGGTACACTGCCGGTGGCTTTAAGGCCAATCAGTAACTGTTGCCATTAAATTATCTGTTGAGCCGAACTCCTTGATAGATTTAAGATAATAAGCATGAATTCTATGTGTGGCAGAAGATATGAAGATGCCAATTAAAATGCAATGTATCAAACTGAAACAATTTTCAAGTAACGGATGGCTTTGCTTTAGATTTCCATCTTCATATACAGCATTTGAAAATTTAAAAATTTAGAGAAAAGTGAATTTCAATATACAGGGAACACAATTATAAAAGCTAAATTGCAATATCATAAATTACGCAACCTGAATTTGATATTTTTGCTTTATTTTTAATAAATAATTATTAATAATGGGAAATACAAATTTTCAACCCGACAAAATCCAATAATTTTGCTCTGTAGTTATGGGTTAGAGAGGTTCAAATCCTTCTAATTGGCTTCTCAGTCAAACATTACTTATTAAAAGTCTGATTCCCACATCCCCCTAAAAAAGATAAAAAGAAAAAGAAAAGGAAAAGAAAAGCTCACGGATTTCCTTAAAAAAAGTTGGGATAAAAATAAATTGGTAGCTACATGTCAGGGCTGTAAGCCCAACCATATCGTTCATTTCTTTGCACTTGGCTAGTTTCTCCAAACAATCAAAAATTCAACTGAGTGTATGTAGTTATATTAAAAAATTTAAGAATTTTATATTTTTGAGATTTTTCCTTAAAAGCATCTATTCAACAACATTTTTAATAAGGATTATGCTTAGTTACTAAAAAATAATTTTCAAGTTTAATAACAAAGTTTTAATGTTTCTCGTGTTAAATTTTTTTCTTCAGAAAAGATTTTTTTTAATTTTTAATACCGCCAACCTCCTTTCAAAATAGCCTTTTAACTCAAAATTGTAGACGTTCCCACGTCTGTGGTGCAACTTGTAACAATTTAAAAGCCATTAACTTCATTATTTTATTTATTTTTTAATCACATGGTAATTTTTCCTCAAATTCATTCTATGTCTCCAATTTTTGGGTCATTTGCAAATAAACCAAAATCGTTCTGTTCAAATATGTTTGATTTTAAGAAAAGAAATCAGATTTTTGGATCCTCTAAAGAGAAGCGAGCGTAATTTTTGTCAGAGCACATGACGAATCACGAGGTATTTTTGGCCGCTTGGAGACCATTTGCGTCGGAATTTTCAAAGTTGCTTTAAGTGTTATGGTCAAACATTGCAGCCCAGATACCGGCGGAGTTGACACAGATTGCTTGTGAACACGACTAAGCCGCTTGTGATCTTCTTCCTTCCCGTTTGCCGGCCAGCTCCTAGAAGCATCCTGTGCGCGGATTCGTAGCACCAATGTCTAAGAGTAGGCGTGGAAATAAACCACGTAATTTGTCTATTTTTAGTATGACTTGATTCGGCTAAGGTTAATTTTTTATCTTGTTATAGGTCCTAAATCAAATTTACCTCAGTAATTTTTTAAATAAATTTAACTTTTTTAGGTTTTGAATTGGTTTAACTTAGCGTATTTTCACTCCTCACTAATAATTTGAAAACGAAACCAACTTTTGGTCTCTTTTTTTTATGAATTTTCATGTAGTTTTCTTCAAATTAAATTGAGTTATTTTTGAAAAAAATTTGAATATTTAACCACACAGCCCAAAGGAATGTTTGCTTTGGTAAAAAAAAATTGAAAAATAAAATAAATTATGAGAAACTAGTTTTAGATTTTTGAATTGAGACTTTATAAATTAAAAAAACCTAATTAGTTCAAAAGTTTGCTCAAATATTTGACGAGGAGCAATCTACCATAATTTTCTTACATATGAACTTGTATTCATATCTAAATTAAACATAGGCAAAATAAATTAGTTTCTTTTTTACTCTAATAATATTTGTAACAATCTAATAAATACTCGTCTTAACAAGTTAAAATTGAATTATTACTTTAAAATATTTAAATTTAAATTATTTAATAATAATTTTAAAAATATTATTTTTAAAAATTAATATAAAATAAAATATTAGAACAGCAACCGCCTTTCTTCCTTGTGAAAGAATTTAATTATTCTCATCGTAAGCTTCACAATTAATTACTGTACATCCTCAGCCTAATTCTCGAAAATCGGGGGAGCACAGAAGAGAGACCAACGCGGCAAAAAGACGATACTATCGTAATCATAACTTCAAGCTCCAACCTCCTGCAATGAGAGATATTGCTCGTGCCTGTACTCTACTGCCTTCATAATTGGGCACATCAGTGGAGGATTTGCGTCCTTTCAAGTGTGAAATGGTGAGTAAATGCATTACTGGTGTTGAGTCATATGATCCAGACTTCATCAAAAATTTTAAAATTCAAAGTTTGGATAAGGTGTGGAAAATTCCAACCTTTTAAAAGTTGGTTGATGGCTTAATTATATTAAAATAAGATAAATAAAATAAAGACAACGACTGAAAGTGGCATTCGCTTTTATAATCAGAAAAATAGACACCTTTGGATTTGGGTTGTGCTCGGTTAAAGGTAAAATGAACGTTGATATATGGGTGAAAATATTCATGCAAGATTGCCCAAGCCCAGACGACCCTTTAAGTCTTAAATGTCATCTTAAATGGTGATTTAACTGAGAGAGTATACATGAATTAGCTGCCTGATTTTAAAGGTGAGCAATTTTTTATTCATGTTTGTTGGCTAAACAAAGCCCTCTACGGTTTTAAACAAAATCGTAGAGGTTGGTGCAATAACCTAGGTAATTGTCTATCAAGTTGAGACTTATTGAACTCTAAAGTTAAAAAATATTTTTTAAAAATATTATCTATTTTGTTAAAAATAAGATTAGACTTAAAATTATATATTAAAATAAATATAAATAGAGAGTTCATCATATTTTTCTAATTATCTATAAATACGTTTGTGACACATATATTTATTGAAAGAGAGTGATCAGTATTATAATTTTATAAGCATTATTTCCTGTGAATGCAAGTTGGTTATAATGAGCCACATAAATATTTTTGTTTTTTTTCCATATCTCTCTTATTGTCTCTAATTTCATAATTTTCAATTTCTTCCAAACTTATTCATCCATGTTATTTAGACTATAACAACAACAACTTAAAGTTATTTTTTATTTATATATAGATATTCATCACTGAGATTGATAAGCTAACCAATACGAAAATAATGAAAGAACTAAATAGTATATTTTCATTGAAAGACTTGAGAGATATTGCTTATTTCTTGGAAATTCAGGTTATAAGGACTGAAAATATAATTCATTGCAATCAAGAGATATACTGTAGGGATACAATTAAAAGGGTTGGGCTAAAAGTAAGACAACACCCACATCCATAGCTAGGGATACTCATTTGCCTATTTATGGCGAAAAAGGGTTACCTGATCCAATCCTTCATAGGAGATTAGTGGGAGCACTAGCAATGCATGCAAGCGTGAAGGGCTGTCAGATGTACACATCATAAGGAGAATACACCTCAGCAGACGATGAAAGGCCTTCAGCATCACCCTCCCCACTCTGTAACATCCCAAACTAAACTTAGGTTGCAAATTGTCATTCATAATTATAGGAAGGTAAATAAGGGGCTAGAAAGGGGGAAACTAGATAAGAGATGAATACTAAATATAATTAGCATTATATAGGCTCCCTATTGCCATAGGAATCTATCAAGTCTAGTCTAAAGTTTAAGATCCTCTATCTAGGCAATTTTAGGTAGTTTCCAATCTAAATTAAGCTAGGGTCAAAACATGAAACTTGTGGACCTTCAAGTTGGCGAATCACAGGTTTTTGAATCAATCTAATCTGATCACTCTAACTCAAGTTATAAGCATTTCACTAAAATAACCCTAAAGTTGTCAATAGTAGGACAAGTGATATGTTTGATTCATTGGCAGGATGGATTTGGCCTCTCTCTAGTCAAAATAGCAAGGTTATGAGTCCTTGAAATAGTTTTATAACCTAATTTGAATGATATTGATCTAAGTTTTGTAACCTAAGTTATAGCCCAAAAACCGAACAAAGGTCTAATAAGAGTTTTTGTGTTAATAGCCTAAATTTAGGGCTAGTTTTAGACCTTTTGCATGTAAAATCAGGCCATGTCCAAAATATAAAAATTATAACTTTTTAAGTTAGCTTTAAAACTGTTTTTGAATTAGGTCATTCTGAGTTTTGTAACCTTAGATATTGGCATTTTACTGTAGATAGCGTAAGGAAAGTAATGGTTAAAAAGGAGGGGGGCATAAAAGTAATGTGATAAGTATGTGGGGCCCACTTCCATTGACCTAAGGGGTCTATAAATAACCCTTGGGGGCCTCCAATTGTAGCATAGGATAGCCAAGGGAGAGGAAAGAGAAAGGGGAGAAAGATGAAGAATAAGAGGAAGAGAAGAAAAGAAAGAAGGAAGAAAGGTAAGTAAAATATAAAAACTTATTGTTTATGAAAGTTTACACATATTGTTCATAAAATATGTATAGTAGAAGTTTATATATATTTTTCACAGACTATGTCTATTCGTTCCATGTTCTATTATATATAGGAGTTGCATGCAATTTTTTAACTTCAAAGGCATGCTAGAATAATAGGAAGAGCCTAAACTCTAAGAAAACTATTTAAGATTAAAACTTCAAGATAAGGTTATAATTAGCTTAAATGTGCATTTTCCATAAATTATTTGATGTTCCTTTAGGGTTTTATGAAGTTTTAATGGAAGATTAGGGTACAATAGTAAGAGTAGTTGAACCATAGGAAAGGATGGAAGCTAAGCATAGGAATTGAAGATTAAGAGAATACCCAAGGGGTAATAGAATAGGAATAAAATAATTATGTTATCTAAATCTTTCGACATGTATTTTTATTTCACATTTAGAGCACATAACTTATATCTAAATACGGTTAACTCGTAAGAAAAGAACAAACAAATTTGAGAAAACCTTTGGTTAACTTTCAAGGCAAATAGCAAACTGCATACTAGGTGAGTGGTTTTCTTCCCAAACTTAATGGTTTGAGAATTGAATTTTATTTTCAAATTTTTTAATGGATTT